GACTGAACAATTTCCATATCTCTGTCGAGGAGAATCTCCAAGTACATTGACTGCTCAGAGCCTACAAAATTGTATATACAGCGAGCCTCGCACACTCGCACTTGTGACCGATTAGCTCCGTCTCATTATCGTCCCCCTTTGGCTGGGAACAACTCACCAAGTCAGCATGGGATTTTTTGCTTGGGCACGCCATTCCGTTCTTTCCCCGTCCCTTTCTCAATTCCTCCACTCTGTCTCCATCCCAAACTTGAACCCCACATGTCCATCTCGCTGGGTAATATCATAACGGCCATTAACCTCGACTGACTACCATCCATCCATCCATCTATCTGTCGGTGCCCCCGTGAAACAAAAAAAAAAAAGTACCAACAACTTCGACGCCCAAGGAATCCGCCCCCCACGATGAAAGTGCCCTGGACGAGACTGATCCGGTTCGTCGCGACCGACGGCCGAGTCCTGCGTGGCGAACCGATCCTGCCCAGCGAGGACTTCGACCTGGGCAACGTCACCGAGGCGGACCAGTTGAAGGCCAAGGTCATCGTGGGCGACGACATCTTCGACACGACCGGCCAGACCAAGGTGACGGACGAGGTGGTCACGGTGAAGAAACTCCTCGGGCCGCTGGCTCGCGAGGAGGTGCCGATCCTGAGATGTGTCGGGCTGAATTATGCAAAGCACAGTACGTTTATCATGATAAGTATCTTCCCAAATCACCGTGTGGCTGTCGATTATGCCGTTCGGGCGACGACAGTGGAGGCGGTTGAAATGCACGGAAAACGAGTCGGTTGGAAGTGATTGTTGACTGTGAGCGCGCGTGTATATAGTCAAGGAAGCTGGACGACAACCCCCGCCGTTTCCCTTTATTTTCTTCAAGCCGAACACGACAGTCCAGGATCACGATGCTCCAGTGGTAATACCCAAGCTCGCCCAGGATGACCAGGCAGACTACGAGGGAGAGCTGGTAAGATTCCAATCCCCTCGTTTTGACCCCTGGATTTTTATCTCGGAGCTCATCGCTTAACCTTGCATGCATATTCAGTGTATCGTCATCGGCCGCGACGCAAAGGACGTCCCCCTCGACCAAGCCCTAGACTACGTGGGCGGGTACACGGCCGGCAACGACGTGTCGTCGCGGAAACTCCAACGCGACCCGGAACTCGCGGGCAGGGTGCCCCAATGGGGATTCTCCAAGGGGTTCGACACCTTTGCGCCGCTGGGACCGTGTCTCGTGGCGCCCGACCTCATCGGGAATCCGGCCGACCTACACCTGAAGACCATCGTCGACGGCGAGACGCGGCAGAGCGAAGGCGTGTCGGACTTGCTCTTTGATTGTCCCTACATCATCTCGTATCTGAGTCAGGGGACGACCCTGCAGAAGGGGAGTGTCATTATGACGGGAACTCCAGGAGGTGAGTCAGTTAGATGTTGTGTCGCACTGCCCCGTCCTAGCCGTCTTCATTTCCTACCCACCTACCTACCTACCTACCTACCTACCTACCAACCAAACATACCTTTCTCTTCCTTAAGAGGTCACATATACTGACCTAGACCTAACGTGGCTATACAGGAGTCGGCTCCGGCATGAAACCGCCGAAATACCTCGTCCCCGGCACGAAGATGGAAGTGCAAATCTCCAAGATCGGGACGCTGCGAAACACGGTCGAGTTCGCCTGAGTGTGTGTATCCATCCTACTGCTGCCCACGTCGCCGTTTGTGTTCTAGCATTTAGCAAAGGGTAGACTTTTGAAATTGGGACAAAAGGGGAGGGGACAAGCAAAGCGATTAGAACAATCATGCATAGAATTTCAGAGGTCTGACAGCATTGGAAAATCCCGACGTTATGGATAAGCGTGCGTTTTCCTTGGATTCGCTTCATCCATCATCTTCATGGTCTTCTCGCCTTGAAAGTGTAGATGGTAGACATTACATGAGCATGATGCATGGGGAGCCCAGAATTGGGTTGGGCCCAAAATATGAGGTGAAGTCCAGGTCGTATTTTGTGGTGCGGTCCGATTCATCTCATGTACCCCTCGACTTTTGACTTGCACCTACCAATTTCGTGATCTTGGACGACCTCAAAACCTGCCAACATGAAACCTACCAGCATCTCACCGGATCCGACCAAATGGATCGTCCTGATGTACCTCGGCGACACACGAACCCCATCGTGACGTTCAGAAGTAGAACGTGAAAGATCACCAAGAGGCGAGCGCGCTACACCTTCGTCTTATGATGTCAAGACCATATCAAGGAGCACAAAAGGAGGACTGCGAGCAAAAGGGAAAAAAAAAAACATGGAGAAACCAGACCGAGCCCGGCCTTCCAATCAGTCTCTCTCCTGCTACAGCTGCTCTGCTTGATCCGCCATGAATTTGACGTCACACGACAGATGCTTGTGGTGCTTGGTGCGAAGATCCCCGTTGGGCAAAAACCTACAAAGAGGGAAAATGCTCACGCGACACCCTCGCAGCGAAACACCCGCAGTCAGAAATAGCTAGTATTGAGCAAGATGTTTTGATCGTACGTGCGTCTATTAAACCAAGCTCGACATAATTGTCGTCTTCTGTTCGGATGTGGCTCACTCACTGCTCTGACGTGCCTAGTTTATGACATTCTTTATCCAATGAGTCCAATGAGTCCATCCAAATGTGGTCCTTGGTGCAATACCGACGGATTGGCCAGCAGGTCAAGCACGAATGGCAAAAGGATGGAGGAAAGCAGGGCCACACCAACAAGCAGAGTGCTTTTCAAGATCTCGAGGCTGTATCTACACAACAAAGTCTGAACAGATCCGATGGTGTCAACGAAGAGCAATCCTCCGAAGCACGCACAGAACCAGACAACGGCAGGACCAGAGCGGACGGCAAGATCGAGGTCAACACCACAGACGACAGTGACCCCATCGACCCTCGCAATTGGCCGCTCCTCGCCAGGTGCAAGAACATCGCCATCCTGAGCCTCCTGATATTCTCTCAAGGGTGGGCCAGCGCCGCAGACTCGATGGCAAACTCGCGAATGAGCCAAGACTACGGCGTGAGCAAGGTCGCAGCCAACCTTTCCCAGGCGCTGTACCTGTTGGGGATCGGATCTGGATGCCTCTTCTGCGGCCCGCTGTCCGAGACCGTGGGCAGGAACCCGACGTACCTCGCAGCGACCTTTTGTTATCTGTGTTTTGTGCTCGGGACGGGGTTGACGTCGAATCTTGGGGGAAGGATCGTTTGTCGATATTTTGTTGGTCTCTTTGCCAGTGCCACTTTGGGCATCAATGGCGCCAGTGTGAGTGATCAGTTTCGCCCCGTCAAGAGGGCGTTTGCCTTCCCTGTCATCGCGTGGGCAAATGTTGCTGGTAAGAAGCCTTACTTGCTCTCTTCAAGCTCGACTGCTGACTCGGATGGCACAGCTCCCATGCTCGCGCCCGTCGCGGGAGGATGGCTGGTCCAAAATCGCAACCTCAGTTGGCACTGGACCGACTGGGTGACACTGATCATTTCCAGCTTCGCCTTCATCGTGGCATTCCTCTTCCTGCCCGAGACATACCTCCCGGTTCTGCTCGACTGGAAAGCCCGACATCTTCGCCGTGTGTCCGGCTCACCCGTGTACGTGTCGAGGCACGCCGAGAAAGCATCCCTCCTCAAGCGGCTACGCGAGACGCTGCCCATGACGGTGGTCTATTTCTCGAGCGAGCCCGTCGTGGCGGTGCTAGGTGGATACCTGGTCCTCGTGTACATCCTCATGTTCAGCTTCCTGTCCGGCTTCGACTACATCTTCAAGGAGACGTACGGTCTATCCGACGGATTGACCGGTTCGTGCTTCGCCTCCATCGCCGCGGGATCCAGCTTCTTCACGCTGTCGGCGCCGGGGCTCTTCCACCTCTCACGCGAGCACACGCACTACGTGCCCCAAGCGCGGATCACGCCCGAGTACCGGCTGTGGCCGGCGATCGTGACGGCGCCGCTGATGCCCGTGTCGCTGTTCTGGCTCGGCTGGACAAACTACGCCAGTGTGTCCGTGTGGTCGGGCCTCGCGGCCTGTTTCTGTTTCGGCGTCGTCGCCACCGCCCTCTACGTCGCCACCTATGAGTACATCGTCGACAGCTACACCAAACACAGCGCCGTCACGCTCGCCAGCATCACCATGGCCCGCTACCTCGTCGCGGGGTCCATGGTCATCGCCGCCCGCCCCATGTACACGGGGATCGGGGTCCACTGGACCATGACCCTGCTCGGGTGCCTTGGATTGCTGCTGGCGCCGGCACCGCTGGTCTTTCGACGGTACGGGGAGAAGTTGCGGGCGAAGAGCGCATACGCAGAATCATAATATGGCCGTTTTTGTAGGAAATAGGATTTGTTGCTTTTCGTCTTTTTTCCAATGATATTCTTTTATTCGTTATGACTTTTTTTTTTCGTGTGTGTGTTTTTTTGGTGTGAGAGAGAAGGGGCGGTACATCATTTGCTCGAGCGTTGCATGTACATGTCAGGATGGCAAGCGACTTTTTCTTGCAACAAGTAATTTGTCCATGGGGCGGGTTTGTCCGGACACATTGATCAATCCAGAAAGAACAGGATACGCTGGGTGAACGATTATTCATGACCGATGGGGTTTTCAAAGCCCTTTGATTTGGGATTATGGTATGGACCGAGTACAGCGAGCGGTTATGTGGTTTGTGTGTATTGACTACCGTTATCATAGTACATTTACATCTGTAGATACTGACTGAGGTGAATACTGAAGGAAACACTGGAATCTGGAATGTTATATCAAGCTGTATCGCTGTTGTTGACCTCAGGCTGCTGAGGTTGTCCCTATTTCTCCCGTCGAGGATGTGGATGTGTTGGACGTACATCTAGGTATAAGTACAAATATAAATACAGACTTGATTCTCGGCATCCAGTGGATTCAACTTCCGATTCCAAGTGACGGCAAGACACCTCTCCACATCTCATCGATCCATTTACTTGGCAATAGTCTGTCTTTCCGTCCCTGTGCGAGTACTGCACAACCTAGGACGAGCCCGTAGCAGAGCCGCCCTTGCGACCCGCCTCAGCAGCACGTTCACTTCCTTTCTCGAACGATCCACTCGACGCCTGGCCGCCCTGGGAGGCAATCTCTCGCTGCAAAGGACACGGTACCCGTCAGTTCATGCTCAACTCTGTCCAAGGACGATGTCTGACGAGACAATGCACAGATTCCGCATCACAAGCGTAAACCAATGGCAAAGGTCAAAAGGGGACATATGACAGAAAAGTACAAGACTCACCTGCTTGTCGGGATCCATGCTGGCGAAACCGCCGCTGTGGCTGGCCTGGCCGCCTTTGGAGGCGATTTCCTGCACCTCCTCCTTGGGGCGGTTGGCGAAGTTTCCGGGGTTTGTGTTGTCGGTCATTTTTGGAGGAGTGTTGTGTAGTTTGAGTTTTGATGTGTGTGTATATGTGTGTGTAAGCTCTGAGTTTCGCAAGTGGATGGTTTCTTGAGAGATTTGAATTGATACTTGGAAGGGAAAGAAAGACAAGTCTATTATATAGATAGACAGACAGCCTCACGACTTATCACCGCAAATTTGACGTCATGACTTTGTACCACCTTGTGTCACTTCCTTCACCTGGTGGCTTGTATATGTCACGGACAATGTGGATTGGACAAGGTCTTCCAGGGATGAAGGCGCTGAGGGGTCTGAGTAGGTCTTGTTTGCGGAGTACTTTTCCAGCCATCGAGAGCGTCGTGGCAGAATCGGCCTGTTGCTTGTTTACCACGAGGTCCACGTCCTCTGTCCAGTCAAGCTTGAGTCCTTGATCGCGTATTGACGTCAAGATTGTGTAAATGATGAAGTACCAGCGGCGCCAGAAAGGTGTCGAAAGGCTGTGGGAATCATCGACATGTCAGATCGACGGTCGTCCTTCTGTTTCTGGTGACTGATCTGCAAAAAGTCCCCAGCCGGAGAATATACAGCCTTACCGAAAGTTGACCATGGCCAATCACTCAGCGGGTACCCCTGACACATCTCCAGCCTGGCGTAGGTACCGATATCCAGGTTGTTTCACTCTTCTTGTTGGCCCTTTCTTGCGGGATGATAATTGTCTGCTGTTGCATGAACCCTCCCGACCGTCTATGGATGGATAGAGGAATACCAGAGACTCATACTGAGAGCCAGACGTCCTCAACCACAACCTCAGACTGGTTCTGAGTGAGATGTCACAAGAAATGCCTTCCGGAGTGTCTTTCCGGCTGAGATGTCATTGGACGCCTTGTTTCCTTCATGACTTGAGAGAGCGACGTGTAGTAGCCACTTCCGCTTCCCCGTACGCATGGTCCGGTGTTTGACCACATTGGTGGCGTGTTGATACAGGCACCTGGGTATCTCTGCGTGGGGAATCAGGAGGCCCAGGACGATCAGACATGTTGTGACATCATCCCTGGCCCAGGATCACCAGTACGTCAATGACTTCGCATCTTACCCAGACATCGACGACCCCCGCAGAAGTGAGATTGCATCGTCCAGTCCACCATGGTGACAACTCGGGCCAAGGATAGAGCCCAAGTTCAAGAGGCTGGGGCCGTCGACGAGAAGAAAACAGGTACCAAGAGACCACGCGACGAGGCTCTCAAGGCGAAATCCACTGAGCCAAAAACGAAACAACGGAAGAAGGACCAAGTCGCAAAGGCAGATGAAGCCAACACCAAGGATGCACGCAATGGCAGTTCAATAGATGACAAAAAGTCAACCCCGAGATCAAAGGGAAGGCCCAAGAAAAACAGCAACCCGCACAGTCAGAAGATCGAGAGACTTCTCCAGCATTTCAACGCCCTTCCTCTCTCCGACACCAAGCTTGAACAGCCAGCCAAGGCAACTCCGGACACCGTTTTGGCACTGCTCTTGAATGCCATATTGTCTTCAACCCGAGTGTCACATAACATTGCGGCAAAAACGACCGCCCTCGTTATCAAGGCGGGTTATCACAAGCTTGACGTCCTAAAGAAGAGCAGCTGGGAGGAGAGGACCGAGGTGCTCACGGAGGGCGGATACACGCACTATCGGTGAGTGGTACAGTTGTCGCTACACAGCACCTGTGATCGGGATTCTAATTTGAGGAATGATGCAGGGAAAAGACGGCAACGTTTATGGGACAGCTGGCGGAGCTGGTTGAGGAGAGGTACGGTAAGTACAATGCCTCATGTCTGGGTAGATTACCCTATGACCTTTTGTGCCGCCCGACTAATGCTCGAGCAGAAGGTGATCTGAACAATGTCGTGGAAACCGCATCCCAAGATCGGAACAAGATCCGAGCGGAGCTTCAGAAGATCAAGGGGATCGGAGACGTCGGCATCGACATCTTCTTCACCACTGCCCAACACGTGTGGCCTTGCCTCGCACCCTGGATCGACCCACGGAGTCTGAAGACAGCCGAGCACATTGGCCTGGGCACCGACGTGCAGGCATTGTGGGAGGAGGTGGACCAGAGCCCAGAGTTGATGTGTCGGCTGGCATGTGCTTTGGTGGATGTGAGGCTAGAGAAGAAGGAATCGGAATGGATGTGAGGTATGAGGTTGAGTGAGAATCACGGCCTATGGGCAAGCAATCAGTGTGGAAGTCACCTCAACAACTGTTGGGCTCGCCATCCCCCCAGCGCGTATAGTGGTCGGGAGTCGAAACACGTGGTGATAATGACAAGTTCCTTATCAACCATGTTGGCATATCTAACATGGTTGCAAGTACCTCGTACCTAGGTAGTCAACGTCGTAGCGACGCCTGTGGTGTTATGCAGGCCGTGTCGATCGGTCGATGGATGGTAGACTCCGAATCTTGCGGTGAGTCTCGCTTGACAGTGGGTCTGGGAAGAGACCATGCGTGAAACTACTTCCCTTGCCTGTCCACCTGTTACAAAGTCGATAAGGTGGGATACATATAGACACACTATATAGAAAATCGGTGCAGAATCTGTCCAGCAGGCGATTCCCACAGTTAAGCCGACATCTGGAGTCATGGCCGAGAAGACTTTCCACTATGAGCAGCGTCGCCTGGAGAACGATCTCGTCGCCCTCCTGCCGTTCGAGGTATGTAACGCACATCACTTCTACAGAGAGAGCCATGTCAAAGTCGTCTTGCTTGGACAAGGGGGAATCTGACTCGGCTGGCAGCCTGGTGTCCACACGGCGCCTTTTGTCGAGATGATCAAGACCTACCCAGACATGTTTACGTACATTCCCTTTCCAGTCATAAACGACGAGGCCGACTTCTTGAGAGAGGTATACGAGGGTATACACGCATCCCCTGCAGACTGTCTGTTCGCAGTGATGGACAAGGTCGTCTCCCCGGAGGCACTGGACACGAGCGCAAAGTTTGCCGGTGTTGTGTCCCTGACAGCCACGAACCCCGTCAATGCCGTCACCGAGGTTGGTGCAATGATCTTTCCAGCGTTCCAGCGCACCCACGTGGCGACCAACGCTATAGGACTCCTCCTCTTCTGGACGCTCGATCCACCATCGACAGGCGGTCTAGGGCTGCGCCGCGTTATATGGCAATCACATGCAGGAAACGACGTATCTCGAAGAGCGGCTTTGAGGATCGGGTTCGAGTTTGAAGGGATCGCGAGGTGGGATCGCGTATTTCCGCGCGGCAAGGTGGCCCTCTCGGCAGAAGCCCTCAGATTGAGGAATGGCACGCAGGAAGAACAGCCCGGGAGGCACACCGCTGTCTATTCGATCGTATGGGACGAATGGGAGGACAAGCGGCCCAAGATTGCGGCGCTGATGGAGAAGAGAAAATGAGCCTGATTTGCTGTCAGTGCTCTCATCCTCGTCTCTTAAATAGGCTCGATCTTTGAAGCCCATAAAAGAGTCTATAGATGCCACAGAACACAAAAGGCTCAACCCACTCTGTACCTTCGAGTCGGCTTCGTTGCGGGTTGTTGGCGGAAATACCAATGCCCAGTGCCACGACGTGGGAATTCCCATCTCAATCGGGACAAAGATGATGCCGCCCTATGCGAGTCACTGGTATTCTATACCCTCCTTGCCTAAGGGACCTTGTGTATACCCTCACACTCTGACTGCGGGGCATATTCTATACTAGGTAACCATGTTCAGTGCAGTAGTTCGAGAGATTCCTGATGTTGCAACAAAAAAAGTCATGAGAGCAGAGAGAATGCTGGGGTCGGGCGTTGGAAAACCAACCAATTCAACGTGCAAAGCAGGAGAATAAAAAAGCCCAAGAGAATACATATTCTGCTCCATACTCAAGTACAAGGAAAGGAATCAGTGAGCGTCTTCCAAATGTTCGGCATCATAAGTCTTTCTGAAGAGCAGTAGTTTTTTAAAAGCGGCGACACTGGGGTGAGCGAGTTACAGTAAAGTTATGTCGATATAGATTTTCCTTCCTCTCGAAACTCCACTTTCCGCTCATATCGCAAGACTTTGAACCTTCTACTGCCTTTCAACTTATTTATTTCGGGTGGACAGCCCTTTCGGTGAATACCCCATGTCGTTCTCATTCGGTTTCAGCGGCGATGACATCGAGGACGACGGCCAAGCCACAGAGCACGAGGCTCTCACCAACAAGATCTCCGAGTGTGCACTATCCCACCCAAGAGAGTCCCCTCAAAACACCGTAGAGCCCAAGAGACACTCACTGGACGAACTGGTAAGTTCCTATCCACCTATGGGACTGCGAGTCCTGAAAATACTTTGCGACCCCTTTTGTCCTCCAGATCCAGAGAAAGAAAGAAAAAGAACCCAAGTGTTTGAAACAAACCCAAGAACAAAGAGTCCGCCTCATAACCAATCGACTTCTTCCCAGTTAGCATCGTTGCCATCGCAGATATCGTACAGCACGCTGCGCATACCTAGTTCCTCAGAAGATGGGAAGCTACGCGACACCAACTCCAATGACCACGGAGCCGTGACGTCGGTATGCCGTCGCTCGGTGTTTGACATCCGAGCTCAACTCATGGCCGAAGCGAACCCGTCCGCCGAAGAGGAAGAAGAGGACACGGCCAGAACGCTCCTCTCCGGCCTAGAAAGCGGCGACCTCTCCTCGGGCATCTATGAGGGAGGCTTCAAGACGTGGGAGTGCGCACTCGATCTGGCCTCCCTCGTCATCTCAGAAACCTATTTGTCTGGTCATGGCCAAGGTCAGGAGGACGGAGACGACGAGGGGCAAGAAGCCTGGGAGGTCGTCGAGCTCGGCGCGGGAAGCGCTGTGCCGACTCTCGCGCTCATGCAGAAGTTCCTCGACCGGAGACGAAAGAGACCAACAACGCACGGTGGGAGCCTCAAAGTGACGCTGTGCGACTACAACGCCGACGTCCTCCGGCTGGCGACCGCTCCCAATGTCCTCCTCAATTATCTGTTCGCCTCTTCTGGAAGAGTTCCTCATCCACTCGGTGACCGGTGGACCCAAGCCGACGGGGACCTCGACCTCGAAGAACTAGGAGGCGAGGCCCTCGTAAGTCGCGCCATCCAAGATATGACGGCCAACGACATATCGTTCGAATTCATATCGGGGGGATGGGGCCCGGCATTTCTGGACCTGGTCTATCCGCCATCTCCGCCGTCACCGCAGGCATCACTCGGGGAAACGGACCACCAACACCAACACTCACCCAAACCCACGAACCTGCTCATCCTGGCATCCGAGACAGTCTACTCGCCCTCTTCGATCAAGGCGTTCACAGAAACCGTCCTCGGTATCCTAGCTTCTCATTACCGTCGTTTTAGGGCCGCGCCCGTTATAGGGAGGCCTCCTCCACCACCCAGAGCCTGGGTCGCCGCAAAGAGGGTCTACTTTGGCGTCGGGGGCGGAGTGGACGAGTTCGTCAGGGAGGTGGACAGGCTCGGTGGGAGGAGTCGCGTCGTTGTGGACGTCAAGGACGCAGGCGTGGGAAGGGTCGTGCTGGAGGTTACTCTGTCCCCGGCTTTTATGGATAGTGCTGCCAATACATAGGGAACAGCAATGATCATGTAGAGAGAGCGGAATGGCGAATGCCCAAGGGTGGGAGTGGGCGGTGAACAAGATATCAATGGCATAAAAAGCACTTGGACTTGTCGAACCACAATGAATCTTCCCCCGTTGCTATGGGAATTGGCCGTGTGCCCCTGTCTTGATTGCGCCGCTAATACAACTATGTGGCCGTCTCAATTTGGTAGCAAAAGACTGACTCAATGCCTGGAGACTTAAATTACAGATACCTAGCTTTTAGGGAAGAATAAACCTCCATCACCGTCTCCACGTCCTCATTTTCCCTTGGTCCCCTTGCTTGCCGCTCCGTTCAACCCCTTCATCTCACTGCTGGCGATTGCGCATGCTCGGAGGCACGTACCTTCCTGGAGCTGCTGATGCAGGCTTTCTCGGCGCTGCTTCGTCACCACTGCCCTGTGCTGGAGAACCGGCGCCTTCTCTCGACAAACTGCGGCCACTATCTCTCATGTGCATCGGCACATAACGTCCACTTGGTGCGCCATTAGCGGGAGAAGCGGACGCATTGCGCGCTGGTGGAAGGTGGTCGCGAGCAGGCGGGTGATAGTCACGAGCAGGTGGATGGTCTGCCGCAGGTCGAGTAGATCCGCTTTCACGAAGATGTGGTGGCACATATCCGCCTGGGCGGCGGGCTGGTGGCTCTTGAGCAGGAGTTGCAGCTGAAGGCGCAGCCTCAACAGCAGCCTGTCCTTGGCCAACAGTTGTGGTGGCTTCCTTTGCGGCTTGTCGTTCGCGCCAGCCGCCACCAGCTTTGCTAGCCAAATTGAGACGGGGTGCAGTTCGTGCACCATCTTGAGACTCAGTACGGGCCTCCATGGGAGGAGCTTCTCTCTGTGGACCGCGAGAAAACGGTGCTGGGGCGGGTGTTGTCTGTTCGGCTTTTCGGGCAGCTCGCCTCGCTGCGGCCTCTTCCTCACGCTGCATCTGTTTCCTCGCAGCCTCTTCACGTTCCAGCCTGGCGGCCTCGGCCTGCGCTCGTCTCTCTGCAGCCACACGTTTCTTTTCTTCCTCGACTTTAGCCTTCTCCTCTTCCTCACGCTGGCGATGCTCTTCCTCTTCACGAATGCGGCGCTCTTCAGCTTCTTGGGCAGCAGCTTGTCTGGCCTTTTCCTCATGGTAAGCCTTGATGCGCTTGCGCTTCTCCTCCTCGAACTCCCGCTCAGCTCTCTTGCGAAGCCTCTCAAACTCGGCAGCACGACGCTCTGTGATCTGGCTCTTGAAAGCGTCATACTCCTTCACGAGTCTGCTAAGACGGTGCTTCAGGGCGAGCCCTTCCTTGTGCTTTTCCTGTGCTTCCTTCAACATGAGTTGCTTGTTTTGCTCGTAGATCTTCATGTCTTCCTCTCGCTGCTTCTCGTAATCCTGTTGTTGGTACTTGAGTTCCTCTCGGCGGAATGCACGCTCCAGGTGGTCGAGACGCTTGGCCGTAATGCGGATGCGCTCATCTTTCTCTTTCTTATCCTTTTCAAGCTGTGACAACTTGAGGTAACGAATTTGATTGGAATCAAGTTCGTCGATATTCACGTCGTGGAGATCGATCTTCATGCCACTTTGAAGTTCGGCCAGCTGTTTCTCTATTTCTTGACGTCGGATGCGTGCCTGTTCATCTTTAACACGCTTGAGCTCACGAGCCCTAGTCTCATCGCGTAGACGTTGAGACTCGGCCTCTGCCTGCTGTTGGGCACGGATACGGCGACGCGTTTCTTCCTCTCTCTGTCTCTTTTGGAAAGCTTCAGAAGCCGCTTCTTTTTTCTTCTCAATGATGACACGTCTCTCCAGAGTCTCCCGGTGCTCTTGTTCGGCTCCGGCCTCGGCACGAGCGAGGGCGGTTTCTCGCGCCGCTAGGCGGGCCTGATTATAAGACGGATCGACATACATACAAGTCACATGCAAAGTCTTAGCCAGCCTTGTCAACTGGGATCGTGCAATCTCCGCTGGAGTATTCTGGAGTCTTTGGACGGAGCCAACTTCGCTCTCTGCCGATCCCGCTGCGCTGCCCGGGTGTAGAGCCTTGGCCGAGGAGAAGACGTCCGAGTCAAAGGCCAAGATACCAGAAATATGGTCCAGTCTGATGGATAGATCGCCTTTCTTGCAACCATTCATGATAAACTTCTCAATCATGGCAGGAGTTACCTCAAATGGCGCAGGGAATTGAGCGAGCCGGGTCACGAAGCTCAGCTCCACTGATTCGTAGACTTGTGAGAGTTGTTGAAAGAGGCGGGTGAGAATGACTTGCTGCAGGGGAAGGACATACTTCTCCATCTCGGGGTCAGAGCCAATCTGAGCCAGGATGGGAGAAATCTTCTTGCAGATCGAGAGAGGATGGAAATCAACCTCAAGGATGTTGTAGAGGTCTCGAATTTCCGGTCGAACACGCTTGAGCAAACCTTTGCTGAGTGCGTCCTTGAAGAGTCCAGCCCTTGTTGGAGCAAATGGCATGCTGAGGAGGTTGGTCAGGCGATTGTTCTTGTTCTTCCGCGCCTCATCGACATCAACCAAAGCGCCCCGCGAACGAGACGTGCTGATGACGGGGATTGCCAGCGCAGAGAGCAATACAAAAGAGGCAGCTTTGGTCAAAGAGTCTTCGGTGACAACAGGGTTGTCACGCTTAGGAGACTGACCAGATGCAACCGCAGTTGCTGACTGTCGTAGCAGGTTGTAATACTTGTTCCATGCGGCGGCGTGGAACAAAAAGTTGTCACTGACGAGGAAGATCTTTGTGAGTTTCTCGTAGTAGTTGGCCATCATGACGTTCTTTGCCGGTCGCTTGGACAGTGTAAGAAGCATGTGAATATCTTCGACACTACGGAAAGCCTCCTGCCACAACTCAAGTTCATCTGCCACGTTCAACTGCCGAAAACGTGTCTCGAGATGACGCTGCAGGGTGTCGGGTTCATTCAGATTGATGGCATGCATCTGCGAGGAGTACTTGGCAGCATTCTGCACATGGTTTCGCAGGAGTTCGCAAAGGCGACGGAACTCGGTCTTTCGTGTGTACTTGAGACAGAAATCGAATGCTTGATGAGCGGTGCCCTGGTACATGACCTCCAGTCGAGCATTGTTCTTGAGAATTTCCAGGACCGTGCGATACGTCTCCCAGAGAAACTTGAGCCATGGCGTAACAATCGCTCGGTCCGTTCGATCTTTGGATTGTTCCCCAGAGACAGTAGCGAGCAGGATAGTCTCAGGGGTTTCAGTAGCTTCAAGGTCTTCGACATTCAGGTCCGTGGCAGTTGCCGCTGACTCAAGCGACGACTGGACCTGATCGGCCTTGGCCTGAGCCTCCTGAACCTTTTGTTCGGCGAGCTCAATGAATTTTTTCAAAACCAACTGCAGTGGTCAGCATGTATTAGACAACAATAGGCGTCGGGGTTGTAATTCATCATACCTCAATCGTTCCCACGTTTGTGTTTTGCGCAATGTTCTTGTATTGGTAAAGTCCATCTTTCGCAGATTTTCCCTTTCTCAGATCGACACACAACTCGACAAAAAGGAGCATAACAGGCTCCAAGGAGGAGATGGGACTATTCCGGGAACGTTTGGAGGTGACATGTTCATGGAGGACGTTGAGAGCGGCTTGGGTTTGGTCGACGGCGATGAGCTCTTGCGCTCGCTGAAGGGTTCTGTCAGTCATTGTGCGCGACAGGAGTTGAAAGGGATTTTTGCCTTACCCTGAGCACATTCTCAGGCCTGATATGGGGTGGCGGAGGCATCTTGATTGTCGGCTGGTTGAGTCACAAGAGAGATGAGGAAGAGACAATCAAGCAAATGATATCTCTCAAGACTCTACCCAGATGGCCGATGAGTCTGTCCTAGAGATGGACTTGTGACTGAATGATTGCCGACAGGAGCCTTTAGTGACGATGTCAAAAGTGGTCGAAATCGCACTGCCCTGTGTTGTGCAGCTTGGCACTGATTCTGCCGGACCAATGTTTCCCCGAGAGACACCTCCTGAATATAAATTGTCTTCCAATGCGTCACCGTATTTTTTTCCCTCACGTCTCGTCACGTGTACCCAAACAAACGCACTTCGCAAGCTGTTCTTTTGCACCACCGCACTCATCACGCTTACCCCAAAACAATATGGCGTCTCTTCTTCCGGAAGGTAGCAGTTTAAGTTCCCCCTGCTAATCAATCCCTATTAATTCCATCTTCTCGCAGGCAAGAAAGAACTCGTTCGCCGAGGCTACCATCCTGACCAGCGTGTCCTCGATCGCTCCTCTCGTTCCTACCACCATCAACACAAGGAGATCCGCGCCATCGACAACTTGCAGGCTCAGTGGGCTGAACACTTTGACAACGAAATTGCCAAAGAGAAGCCCGAGGAGAAGGCACAAGAGCCGGAAGCCCCACGCCCAACCGTTGTTCGTCGCGCAACTCCCACCCTTCGTCGAGTCACTCAACGTATCCCTACCAAGAACTACACCGCAATCCCCGCCGGCTATTTCGAACGTCCTGCTCTTGCCAGCGACTTCGACGTCACCTGCGTCCTTGACTACCACGCCTTCCTCTTCGACCGCCACGAATTCTTTTCCTGCAAGAACCCAACATGCCAGCTGCATATGCGGTGCGGGATGGGGGCGATGCCAAGTCCAAAAAACAAAGCATGGCAGATCTTAAACTTAGGCGGCTTCAAGAACTGAATTCGCGTCTCAAGGAAGATCTCGAGAGGCCTCGTGTCAAAGTCGCAGAAGCATCCATGAGGTACGTTGTGCAGAGTTCCAAGCTCTGCGTGGTTCGAAAGCAAGGGTCGTCCACTAACCATGTTTGGCCGCCACAGCCTGATCAACTACTGCAACCAAACACGAGATTACATGGTACCGTCGGTCTGGGGACAGGTGGATAGGAAGGAAGATCCATACAATCCACAGAGTGGAGGTAGTGAAGGGTGTTGCACTGTCATGTAATCGAGTTTTGTTGAAGCTGTTCGGATTGGGTCACAAAAGGGACACAACGGAGCACTCAAAGAGAGGTGTGGTATCATATTGATCGAGTCAAAAAGCATTCGGCGCAAGAAGGCGTTCACAATTGTCAGAGTCACGCAACATCGCAACAGGTTTTTATGTCAACCCACAACGGGAGAGGCAGCACGGAGTATTAATGTACGTTGCGCTGCGCCTTGTGCTTGGTTACAGATTCAGCTTCTCTTCGTCCTGTCGACAACTTCGACAATGGGTTTTTCCATTGAGGATTATGTAGGAGGCTACCTGAGTGCAATCCAATTCAAGTCAATTCCACAACCATGCTTTTACTGTTCATCCTTGCTGGGAATGAAGCTCCTCACCGCAACAAGAGCGTGATTCCTGCTTATCGAATCTACCACACGATCAATCGGTCTTTTGGGCACTTTTTTTTCAATGCCCTGTAGACGATGCTATGGACGGCAATAGCTCCATCCAACACGGTTCAACCTCGTCTATGGCAAAATATGGCCACCCAATCCCGCTTTGGGTGTACAAGATTGGGGATTTCCCGCTTACCCAGGGATCCCTTGCCCCTAGCACCAGGGCACACCGCTGTGCCCAAACAACGACTCCAGGATAACCCCTTTTTGCTTCGGAAATGCAGGCGACCATCCCTATTTCTCATCGCTTAGAAACCATGTTCCCAATAACCGAGTCAGAAATCCCAACACGTCGCATGTGGCCCTTGTATGTAACTAAATTTGGGGTCTTCTCTCCTCTGCTAAAATGATTGAGCACGTTGCAACCGAGTTGCTGGGGAACTGGCTGCCTATCGGGTGAGAGGGCAAACGAGGGCATCCGGTTGGGTTTCAATGAGGAAGCATTCGAAATCGAGGGGATTGACAAGTTTGTGTGTGACAGTTGTATCTGACACTTGGAGCAGCAACTGTGGACTCTCTTCCCCCTCCACGATTGCTGGGAAATTCTCCGAACAGTACGGGATCTACTCTACCGTTATATCGGAGGTGATGATCTACCCGTACCTCGTAATGAGTACGTATTCTATCTGCATTGAACCGCATCATTGTGTCAAGCTCCACCTGTCACCTCGCTCTGTGGAAATTCTCCAGCTTGTCGAAAGCCCCTGACTTGACGATAATCATCGATCAAGGCGGCCATTGACCGATCTCGTATTGCACGCGACCTTCTTTCTAGCGAGCTATCCACCGCATATACCGAGCAACTCGTCCAGTATCCTGAAGGTGGCTGCCTCCGAACCCGTACCCGAGCTCGAGTGTCCCGCAGCAAATCGATCCTCAAACCCCTGATTTCTGCATAAGTCCGTCTCCTTGAAACACGTCAACACAACCCGCAGTTTCCGCTACGCTCCTACCACCACAACCGACCATGGCAACCGAAGTTTCCTCACTGGTGAAAGCGCCGCGTATCGCGATCGCATTCTGTACACAATGTAAATGGAACTTGAGGGCTGCTTATGTGAGTGTCGATACCCTAGCCGTGACTCGCATCAGCAATGAAACTGGGATCTATCCAACATCACGACTTTTCCAATTTAGCTTTGACAGCCACTGACAATCCTTTCCTACAGTATGCTCAGGAATTAATTCAGACATTCAGCACCAGCATCGGCGAGATTGCTCTGATTCCGTCGACGGGGGGATTGTTCACCGTCACGGTCACAACAACAAAAGTTGTCAGCAACACTTCCAGTGACGGAACTGTTACTTCAGCAGGATCAACAGAGCAAGGGGTCCAAACCACTGATACGGTGATATGGGACCGCAAGACTGAAGGCGGCTTTCCAGAGACCAAAGAGCTGAAGAACCGAGTTCGAAACATTCTCGACCCGGGCAGAGATCTCGGGCATATCGACCGGAGCTTAAAAAAGGGGGGTTCCCAACAAGCCCAGGCAGAGACTGACAAGTCTGAGCCCAAGCCAGATGACAATGTCAACCCGGTTCAGCAAGAAACAAAGGAAGAATGTGAGGATTGCAAGTAATACGTTGGGTCTGGCACACCACACGTGTTGCAAACTCCTTCTCCTACGTGAGACCGGCGTTGTCAATTATCTCTAGCCTGAACCTTTGGTTGGGCATCTCGGAGCTCACGAGCCTTGAACAGCGTGTGAGTTGACCTACGCAGGGCGATATAACAAGGTAACCAAGATACTGCTTTTTCCTCTGGAATCGTGAATGTGGACGGGAAGACAAAGGGCTCGAGCCCTTGAACAACTATAGGTATGTTACCCCCATCACATTTGATGTCCACCTCCCTTAAACCATTGACGTCCAAAGTCCACTATGTCTGACCTTTGAACAGTGCTAGCTCTTGTAGCCCATGTACACTCCTATTTCCGAGTCTATCTTCAGGACAATCCCGTTAGGGAACTGTAAGTGGGTAGCTTGAGCCACCCAATCTAGCTCTCTTCAAGAAAGCGACGACTTCGTTCCAACCACGCCCAATCCCTAGGGGACTTGGGGACCCCAGACGGGGATAAGGCTAGCAACGACCCTTTTTCTGGTTGGGGATACTTGACCCACGGCACTGTCCTTCGCCATCTCTCTCGATCTAGAAGCTGTTGGGTGTCCTGCCAATGGTTGAAGATCTGGCTGCCACGGACGTGCCGGTCGACAGCTCAAGAGGCTCGGCCATGAACCCAAAACCCTCGATGACGGCGAACTGGGCAAACCTGTCGAGGTTCGGATGGCTCGAAGTAGACGTGGGCCAGGTGGACGACTGTCGCCTCAGAATATTCGGTCTTGACGCTCGATGATTGGTCATTTTCGGCGTGATGCGCTCACAGAGAATCCAAGGAAGCCGAGAAGATAAATTACGTCGATGGAGGTGGGTGTTGAACATGCTCTCGCGCTCAGGATCAGCTTGAAAGGCCATTTTTACCAAGATTAGTGAGGAACGTGTGTGGTGGAACTTCGTTAATTCGAAAGCAACTGTCTCTCTCTCTCTGCCTCTCCCTCTGCCTCTCCTCCCGCTTGGGTATGGAATCATTCTTTGTCACCACATATCCGTCCCATTACCTCCCTCCCCGTTTGACGTGACATGGCCATTCATCTTCCCCCATCAACACGGCTGAACAGTCGAGAAAAGAGTGCAAGGCCATGCCCTGACACTCAATGTGACTACCTCTGAGCGTCCATGTTGCGTCCTGAAGACTCGAACACCGGGTTAGTTCAGACATGACCTACCTAGGTAATCCAGGCTCTGTCCCACATTGACCTCGTTGCCGGATTGACCTGCTCTAGAGGACTCCCAGGGGCCAATTCAGAAACTCAATGATCGTCCGTGCAGGAGTCCTCAGAATATGTTTTATCTCGCGATAATGAATTGATTAATTTCCTGAAGAAAACCCCATCCCAAAGCCCCCTACAAGAAGAGAGCCCCATTGAAACCACTGTGGTCAAAGCTCTCTCCTTCGAGGGGCAAGGCCGATAGAATATGGAGGGGTATATCGACCACATACAAACACCGCGAGTTATTATTGAGACTGCGAGGGGAGTTCAGAACAGAATCGAGAATGTCTTGTCTACATACATTGTAGGCATACGTACAGCCACATAACTGCGTGCTTTGATCAGAGCATCCCGACTCCTACGCCATTGAGAGGATGTACATATCGCTGTCACCGTCCCACTGAGTTTACTCCTCACAAATACCTACTCAGTCATCAATCGACCAGCGATAACGACATTGGCAAGAATTTCAGCTTCGACCAAAAGGGAGGACTCGTCAGCACAACGTCCCAGGAAGAAGAAGTCTGCAGATTCGGAGCCCTCGAGGTTTCTTGGTTATGTGACTGTCACAACACGGCTGGCATCCTCTCTGAAAGAGGATTCTGTTCCTCCCGATGCCGCTGATTTGCATTCATGCAGGGTACAGCGGCATCGTGGTCCAAAAAAAACTGTCCCGGTGTCTCCGTTTGTGAGTGCACTGACACCGGCAAGGGTGCCATGGTTGCCGTGCTGTGTATGCACCAAAGGTGATACCTGCTATCGGTGAGTAAGAGGCCTGGACAGGATTGTACAGAAGACACTCGTCAGAACAAGGGTAGGGGTCGAAGAAGGCATGATCACCACCGTCCTCTGCGGCTGAAGTTCTCACACCCACTCATGAAGTTGCAAAATCTGTGCACGTATCCTTCCCGTGGCTTCTATCGTCCAATCTCACCGAGTCGATAGCTTGGTCCTCTCGTGGAGCTTGTGAGTCGAGCTAATACCCGCGCTTCTTGGGTCAGCAGCACAGTACAACATGAATGGGCTCCCAGGTTCCTCTGCAGTTCCTCTGCCTTGCTCAGGAGTGCCGTCAATGTGACTTTGTTGGCAAGGCGATCGTCGAAAGAAGTCTGGATAGAAGTTCCGGGGTCCAGACATTGCAGTACCCTCAATTTCCAAGTCTGTAACAACCTTTGCGTTTTCTTGCTGAGACTCACCGCATACCCAGTCTCGGAATCGCCCGTACATCGGATGCTGGCCCTGTTTGTCTAAGCGATATATCTTGAACAGGTCAGTCATGTCCGGCGCGAGTGTCAGTAGACGACATTAGATATGAAATCCATGATTTTCCGCAATTTGCATCTCATACTGAGACTCGGCAGCAAACAGCATCAATTGTGATCACCCATCAGATCGCGCCGTACCGCTCATGTGCCCCGTCCTTTCCTCAGCCTCGCATATCGGAGTTCCACCATGTGGTATATCCTGAGCGGACTATGACTGTGAGAAGTCGTGGTCTTCATGCCTCGAATAGATGGTCCGCAAAGATGACCTTCATGGCTGCTAGATGTACCGTCGTGGCCCTGCATTCCCGACACAGTCAAGGCTGAGAGCAAGCTCACGCCAATTGCTAACAGGGTAAATCTTCTTGCATTTCATCAGCCAGGCTCTGAGGTCGAGTAGACGGGGGCCCCAGTCATGGTCATGGTTGAGAGGCGGCCGGTCTAAACGACAAGGAGCCTCAAGCATGGTCACTATCGCATCGCGTGACAGACTCAGCCTCATAGGAGCGCAACCAAGGAGCGCGGACTCCACGTTTGGTATTCATCGACGTGCTCCATAACCCGTCAGCACCGCCAGGCATGCTGTTCAGACACGTCGAAGTCAAGAGGCGATCAGGAACTCGTTTGTGGTTGGAAGACACAAAAAGCCGTACGTACCCAAGGGGGTTTCAAGGGGGTTCTTCACGACCAATATGTTCCAGGAAGAGCCGAAGCGGTTTGACCAGCTAGAGGGTGTTGATCAGCTGCGTCGATCGTCGTTGGTCGCGAAGGTATGTTGCTTGACGCGTTGCAGATACTTCCTCTCGACGATGAATTCGTGTCGCAAAAAAAAAAACAAAGCGCTGAATACTTTCTGACTCACTGCAGAAGGCCATATCAAATTGAGATTGGCTGTTTGGGTATTCCCATAGTGACACGATAGGAACCTGACCAGGGCTCCTGGTCTGAATCTCAGACGTTTTCCATCATCCTCTGGCGCAGCGGCGGCAGTATCAGAATGATAAGAATATGGGTCACCTTCTCGTTCGTCGCCCTGTCTTCGAAAGGTCAATATAGCCACAATTGTCCCAATCACCCGCTGCTGTGGATCAACGCCCTTGCCGTCTTACCGCCGAAGCAAAGAATTTGCCTGGATCTCCTTCGCGTCGCGAGCATTGAGCTGGTCGTGGGTGGCCACCTCGATGAGCTGCAAGTTCTCACGGCTCGACCCGTTGAATGACCCTTCCAGGGACGCCCGGTAAGTCGCTTGCATATGGTCAATGCATGACATGGTGAAGGCTCAATACCTGCAAAATGGGTTGACAAACAGAGCTTGGGAATCAATAGCAAGCCTGGCCTTTTCCAAGTAGCTGAATCAGCATACCGTGTTTAGTCTCCCTTGGGCGTCTGTCCACTCGACCGCTCAAATCCTTCCACGGCCTTAAGAAGCAGCTCTTTTCCAATGTGCTGTAGGTCTAAGATGCGGATTTTCTGCGATAATCGCACGGCTGGACGCATCAGAGAGCGGTGGACTGGGTCTAGTACGACGGACACTGCCTGCTAGCCGAAGCAGCCAGGTCGTGTACTTGAGCACTGCTGGTCAAGCAGGTCGGGCATGGATCTGAGCAGGATCGTTGTATTTGCCAGTTAGATGGCGGAGAGAGCCGTCTTGAGCAGTACAGCATCCAGTACGACAGATAAGTTCGGATAACAGCCTACAGACTGCAGTTGTGAGAGCGTGAGGTCGCGGTTGTGGGTGATGCGAATGAAGTTGTGGAAAACAATTAAAAACACGAGGCTCTGGTGCAACATTGCATCGACATCCGCCCAGCGACAACGACCCTTAGCTGCTGACAGCATGTTCCATGTCCTCATCGGACACCTCGTGAAGAAGCAGAGAGCACATCATCCATCATCCGTCATGTAATAAATAACCGTCTTCTAACTTCGGAGTCTGTCAAGTACTGCGGAAAGTGACGCTCAGGCTTCAAAACATACACCTCAAACTATACACGATGTTACAACCAACGACAACACTAGAAAAGTACAGAAAACGGTGCATGAGCCTGTTCTTACAACCATTATATTATTGTTACATCTTGATATAGACCTGGTACTTCCCCTGAAACATTGTCCTCGAGCCTTTTTACCCTGTCTGCAGACTGCACACCGAAACAAGTCAACGAGCGAGGCATGGCAGGGCAGGGCAGGGTAGAAAGAAGATGAAGTGGCCACACTTTGCCGACACGATGCCATTGCGAAAACATGATCCATGCTGGCTTCCATCGTGGTCCCGAACCTCGTCGTGTTCATGCCCTCGAGCCAATCGGCCCGAGGGATGTTGGGTATGCAACCAGATGGGTGTCAGACCACGGGCTCAATAGCCGAACAAACGTCATGCAGCCTTTGCTGGCTCTATGTCCCGCTCAGCAGACACCGAACGGGTATACATGCGTGAGGCGCGTGCGTGGTAGCGGCCATGCTAGTGACATAGGTTCAACAGCACATGGGCGGAACCAACCAAGTCAGCGTCTTGATATTTCATCCTTGCTGAGGCGACAAGTAAAGCGAGTTCCAACATCCAGCTCAATGGCTCCGTCCGTAGCAGCGTGGACGAATACAGAGCCCTTACTTCTTGCGCATCTTCTTCTCGACGTATTTCTGGACGCGCTTGTCGCTCATGATAAAGCCCGTGACAGCCGCGCCCAGGAACAGCTTGGAGGCGGCCGCAGCTCCGCTAGGATCCGTGACTTGTGAGTGCATCGACGACGGCTTTGTCGACTTTGTGGTTGCGAAGCCGAGTTCGGAATAGCCAGGCGGCGTGCCTGACGAAAGAGTGCGCATCGAGGCATCATCAGACGCCGCCGACTGGGCCGCCGCCCGTTCTGCCTTGAGCCTCTTCTTCTCCTCCGCAGCGGCCCTTTCGCGCTCGTCCTCTTTGACGATCCACTCCCTAACCACGTCCTCGCCGGGAAACATCCTCCTCCTCATTGCGATCCAGATCGGGACGAGCAGCTTGTGCAGCCGCTCCTCCTCCTTCTTCATCTGCTCGTCGATCCGGGTCCCCGATTTCCCAACCCAGCTGGCCCCACGCCATCCTTTGGCGAAGTCGCTGTGCACTCGACACCACGGGTGCGCGAAGCGCGAACCGACAAAGTTCCGCGAGACGGCGCGGTAGTTCTGGGAAGTTCCCGGCTCGAGGAGGTAGATGATGGTGGGCTGCTCGCGGAACTGCTTCAGGTCGACGAAGAACTGCTCGTGGGATTGTTGTGGGATGAGCAGGGCCGAGAAGAAGCGTGCGTAGTTTGTATGTGAATCCGGAAGTCCGTGGACGTAGCGCTGGAGGGACGGGTGGATGATAGGGTCATCGCCTTCTGATTCTGGTGGCTGCACGAGTGGTTCTTCCAGGGACGACATCACCAAAAGTGTCTTTTATCGCAGATGACAGCCTCGAGTATGCCTCACAAGCTGTTTCAACACCGGGAAGATCCCTCTTCGGGTATGTTTGGATTCTTGGATAGGAGTTGTAATGAGGTTTGACGGGATGTCCCGCAACCTCAGGTCAATTCGGACCGCAGAAATCCTGGCGGCTGGTGAGAAATGTTGAAAAAACTGGGGAGCAGACGTCGAGGTTTGTATATTCTAGGCTTAATGATGGGTCAGTTCGTCTGTCATTGCAAGAAAAGTAGAAAGTTCCTCAGGTCCTCAAAGGCCAAGGCTCCAAGACAGCCTCGTCTACGCGGCCGTGGATTCGTGACTCCGTGCCAAGTCCGCACTATGGATTTGTCGACATCTTGAGCTGTGATCTGCATCAGTCCCAATGCTTGATAGTTCCTATTGTGGGAAGAAGTTCCAATATCAAACCCAGTGCAGGTAAGCTGTTGATATTCGAGGGACGGCGAAACCAAGTTGGTCGGATGGAGGCGGGAGGGAAGACCGGAAGGACCAAAAGTGAGGCCTTGTCTATATGGGACTTCCCAACGCTCCACAGAGGCTTCGCAATACTGGATTCACAAACGAGGAGCACCCCATCCGTATCTGAGCGACATCACTCCAATCATTAATCATTATAGGAATCTTGTTGGAAAATATAGAGGTGAAAGGACAAGGCTACTCTGGACAATTGAGTTTCCGAGCGCCAAGAAGCCATTTCGATATATTCGGGCTTCATGTTTATCTTTATCTGGTCAGATTGAGTTTTTTTTTTTGGATCCAGAAGGCTTCCAGATCATCCCTGTAGTCCCTGAGCATCTTGCTGACTTGACTCTGGGGACTTGATATTCATCCCGTTTCATCGACAGCCGATCATTCTCGGACCTTGTTCAAGATCTATCCAAAGCCAAGAGATTGGGAGGAGCCCCTTTGGCTCGGCGTCGGTGCACTTTACCCCGGACCGCAAGTCTTGGAACGTTGGACAAAACTCTCAGAAGAAGCTCGTCGTCCAGGAGAAAGTGCGGTGAGAGAGAGCGCAGGGAGGGCCTCATGTGATGGAAGTCGGAACCCCCTTTTGCACGACACTGTGAACCACACCTCTCTTCGTAGGTTTACTCGGTTGGGTTGCGATAGTTTCTTAGCAACGAACCGTCCGTTTCGCCAACTCCTGCCTGCATGCGGCGAGCCGTGATCTCGTGAGCATTGCTATACGGTAACTTGTACCTTGTCCTTGTGCTGGCCATGAGTGATCGTAGGCAAATGACCAACGATCCCTGGTTTGGGTTACAAGATGCACGGGGTATTCGCGGGGTTGCAAGCGGAACATCTGAAACCCGGAAAGACGATTGTCAAAAGACTCGAAATATCGGACGCAGGCCCTGACCTTTTGATAGCATTTTACGGCTTTGCTGGAAAATGAAATTCAAACAGAGGTTACTCCATCTGGAAAACAACATACCCAAAGCAGTGCTCGCCTTCTATTGGGAGATGGTAAGCGCCGCACACACGCACACACATCGTCAAGACGAGAGCAGTTGTAAACTACAAGTACGAGCTTGGAATGTCGCGTCGTAGTCGCCAAGACTACATCTCGCAAGAGCCCACTAACACGAGTCGCCGTTTTTTCTTCTTCGTACAAGGAATGGGAATGTGTGTGGTGAGGGGTAGGCAAAAGGAAACCTCGGTCAGTGAGTGGCGGACTTGGTCAAGTTGCTTCTTTCTCAAAGTGGTTGTTGCATTAGCCTTATTTTAGTCTCCATCAACACCCAGATTGTTCTTCACTGCGATTCGCTAATTGAAAATGCCTCATAGTAAAAAGTCCGTTCTCAATGGGGCTGTGGGCCAGACCCGCCGGTGGCTCCACTGGTCTGTGCGTTGTCGTCTCCGCCCATTCACATTTCTGCTTTGTCCGCTCGAGATCCAAGACTCGCCCAAGGTCACTGACAATTTGTATTTGGTACTCTGAATTGTGGTCATATCCCACGGCGCACTTGCATCTGCAGTCGTGGTCTCACTTGAGCTTCCGCGACCTCGTTTGCCGATTTAATAGTGTGGAGGACGCTCGCTTGGCCATGCAGCTATCCCCACACTGTGGATGTGGATGAATAAACTACTTGCGTCGTTACAGCATAGCTTTATCGAGCTCTGGGAGTAGTCCAAGCTAACAGCAGCTCGCATTCTTACGTGGAACTGAATGCGACACGCAACATGGCTGAGAATGAATGCGTCGTGAGAGGGCCCGTGGTCAGCCAGATGACTGAGGTTGCCAGGTGCTTCAGCTGTCTTGTCTTTGGTGTCACCGGTGCATGTGCTTCTAGAATCATTCTTTTGAGGAACAGAGTGGCACAGACCGCCGCCTGTTCACCGTCAGACAGTGCAAAGGGTCGCTGGTTTCATGCGCACGCGGACCGCTGTGGATGTGTACATCAGAAAAAGATCTCTGCGAATAATGCATTGGGGCAAGCTGCCGAGTTGTAGCACGCGGTAGTGCCTGCGTTTGACTGGTCCTATGCGTCCGAACATCTCCGTCACACCTCTGCAGCTATCCTCTTGGTGAGCAAAGTGAGCAGTGGGGAAAAGCATCAGCAATAATACTACTGTGAGTATACAGGATGCGGTACTGCACCGTCAGAAGATCATGTCATGTTTGGAGGTCTCGCGGGAGGAAAGAGATTGGAGGAATACGCGGTGGCGCTTGAAAAGACAGCCCTCACATCCATGTCTTCGACGGTAAGGCCTCTCGAGCCGTGCGGCCCGTGAAATGGGCACGAGGGAATCAGTTTCCCCTGTGAGCATGCCAAGGTCATC